AAAAGGAGAGCGACTGCAGCTGCACAAATTCTGGGGACAAGCATGGGGGCTACTTCAGTCCCCACAACAGGCACTGCAGCCACTCAATCTCCAGCCACAGGCACTGCAGCCACTTCTGTCCCTGCACCACGCCCTGCGTTTACTGGGGGGCCACTCAGACTGCAGCTCCTCCCCTCCCTGCAATAAGCAGTGCAGCTACTCCAGTTCCAGTGTCAAGCACTGGGGCTACTCACATCCCAGTGACTGATACCACAGACACTCAGACTTCAACATTGCAGATGTGCAGATGAACCAACAACTATTTATTAGGAGCCATTCCACCATCTTCTTCTTTTTATCCTTTTTGCCTTGACAGCCGGTCCTGAAGAGTTTCCAAAGCAGAGGTTGTCTGGCGGATGACCAAGCAGTGTGTTCCTGTGAGGAAGAGAATTGAAGTGACTTGAAAAGGCACCTTTGGAGAAATTGTCTTGGGCTGGAAGGTCTCCACAGTGCCCTTTCAAGAGGTGGAGAGGGTGCAGCCCTCCTTAGCAGATTTCTCCCTGTACTTAGCAAATTGCAGTCAATTGGCCAATGAAACTTCTTTTAAAGAAGTATCCTTAGCAAAGCAAGAAGAAAAAAAAAAAAGGCCTTCTCAAATTGTGCACTCATTTGCTGCTGCTGTGGGCAAGAAGGCAGCCAGAGCTGCACGTCCTTGGCAAGCCTGGTCAGGGTTCCTGCAGGGTTTGGCATGAGGAGAGGGTTTCTGCCACCCCTTGAGGGTTTCTGCAGGGTTATAGAATTGTGCAGGGAGGACAGGATCTTTAAGATGATTGCGTCTGACAAAACACTGGCGTGTCCACCAGTGAACTCTGTCCCTAAGGGCCATTCAGCATTGCTGTCCTCTCCGTACTTCGGGAGCCGTCTACTGGGAATGAGCCAGAATTGCCCCTTTTACCTTTTCACCACGGCGACTCAACTCCCAGGAGAAATGCTTCCCTTTCTTCTTCCTTCCTTATTTCCTGCCTGTCTTCCTGCCTTCCTTCCTCCTTCTTTCCTTCGTGCCTCCCTCCCTCGCCTCATCGCCTTTCCTTCCTTGTCTTCCTTTGTCCCTCTCCCTATCCCTGCCCCCATCGCTCCCTTCCTTCAGTTCAGTTCAGTGTGGAGTTGATCAAGGAAGGAGCCTCTTCCCACTTCAAAACCATAGCAAAGACCGCAGAAGTGGGACTTTCCATCTGTAAGAAATAATGGACAATTGAGAAGGGAACAAAGAGCTTATTCACAGGGTGACAAGGAAGGGAATCTTCCAGGAGAGTTGAGCTCTTACAGAGTTTTTATTCCGAGTCCCACTCAGAGAAAGCCGTCCTGAAATGGTGTGGTTATCTCCTGTAGTCCCTGGACTGCTTTGCTGCAACAATCACAGGAACCAGTCTGGAGAGGGGCTCGGCTGATTGTAGAAATGGATGCTGCCAAAAGGGGAAAAAACAAGAGAGGACACATTACTTTCCAAACTCACAGGCTCAAGCAGGACTCCTCTGGTTGCCAGAAGGATGCAGAAATAGGACAGAGGGGACCATCTGCAACTCTGTCTTCTTGTCCAGGACCTTGCTATCCCAGGCAAAGCTGGTCCATAATCAACAAATTCATTCCTCAAGGTGTCTTCTGAGAAGGAGGTGTTTTTGGGCAGAGTGGTGAAACACTGGCACAGGTTGCCCAGGGAGCTGGGAGGTGCCCCAGCCCTGGAAACATTTGAGGTCATGCCAGAAGGAGCTGCAAGCAACCTGATCTCCTTGAAAGTGTCCCTGCCCAGGGCAGAGCACTTGGACTCGATGACCTTCACAGGGGCCTTGCAACCCCCAGCAGTGTAGGATCCTGCTTAGTTTTCACTGGAAAAGCACCAGGCGTGGAGAGTACCAGGAGGGGGGCCCATCTGCTGCCTTGGAGTTTAGCCCAGAAGCAATCCCTGACATGGCACAGCTGTTCCACCTGCAGCCACTTCCCTCTTTACCTGCAGAAGCTCCTGGGCAGACGCTCGCCTCTCCTCGTCCTCTGCAGGCAGCAGTTCAGGAAGTCATGCAAGAGAGAGGAGTGTAGCCAGGGCTTCTGCAGCTTTGGGGTCCTTTCTCTGGCTATCAGGTCTTGAGCCTGAAGAGAAAGGAAACATGAGCCTCTGCCTCTTTCTTCCATAGCCGTACCTGAGCACCCAGACCCCGCTGATTAAGCTCCAGCCTCCAG